GTGAGACTGCAAAAGTGTGTAACGTTGTGCTATGTCCATATATATATTTGCAGGTAAGCAGATATAAGATGGTAATTAACTTAAAATGTATCTACAGATGAGTCCACGGGGTTGCAGAGAATGTGGGAAAGTTGGCCGTTAATCCCCACTATGTGTCATTAGTATATAAGTTATTGGTAGCGATGTGAATTAGCCGTGACGCTAACGATTAGCAGCTAGATCTAATTCATTAGTTTGTGCGGAAACCTCGTGGCGCTTTTGTGGATTTATACCTGTACCGGGCTGTAATCACAGCAGATATAGACTGGTGGATCACACTATCTTTTGTTTATGTTTATTTCATTGTTGCACTGTAAGAAATATTAGTGATTTGAGTTTAAAGACTAACCATAAGGCAGTGCGCCTATAAGAGTTGTGTGAGACTGCAAAAGTGTGTAACGTTGTGCTATGTCAATGTATATATTTGCAGATGCAGTAAAGGCGAACTCACAAAGCCACACTGGTTTCAATTCATTTTAATCCAAGTGTGCAACATATGTACCCAATTTATGGTACATTTATGGTACTTATTATTGATGATCACTTAGAAGGAATGATGTCACAGGGTTATTTTAGTTATTTTACTTTGTACAAACAGAAATCCCACGTTTACGCAGAGGATTAATGTGCAGGTTTTATGCAGGCAATTTTCTGGACTGGGGAAAATTTTATGTTCTTGCAAGGAGTTAAAAGCAGACAGAGGACATTTGTTTTGCATTGCTGTTACATGCTGTGCAATAAAATAAAATGCCATCACATACTGAAGACGAAACATCCGATCACTTAACGCCTATTCCTGCTAACTCAAGCAAAATTAGCAGTAAGAACAGTAACATTATCTTAACAACTGAAAGAATAAAGCCCACACTGCAGCATTTCTTCCTGTAATGAGGGAAGTGATATTTGGTGCCACATCAGTCCCACCTAAAAACACTGAAACTTGCTCAAATTACAGGATAAACGAGGACAGTGAGAACACAAAGACCCTTATAGAGAGCACATGTATCAGAAGCTTAAATGGGGCTGAATGAAACAACATACATTTCAAATTTTATTTATAAGCACAAATAAATCTATTGTTACACTATGTTCACTATGTTATACTTTAACTATTTGTGTACATAATACTATATTGTCAAATTATGATTATGTGTCCAGTATTAAAACAAACAGAACTAAGAAATGAGCAAATATGGGGACAGACGTAAGAATGTGTGTATGCCATATGCTATTTATGGCCCCTCATGCATACTTAAAGGATATACAAGTTTATGCATATACAATTAAGCCATGCTGAGAAGCATAGAGGCAAAAGAACACAAAAGAATGAGAATCTCTGTCCTGGAGTGGCCCAGCAAAGAGCCCAGACTTAAAATGCACCTGAACACTTTGACTCAATGCTTCAACTGCTCTACAAAGTCCAGCAGTAACGGTCTAAATACCTTTCAAAGTTTTCAGTTCAAAACTTCAAAAGCATTTCTTCTGGTGGTGGTTGGTACCATCCCCTCGCAGCAGCCTAATAATTGGCTGGGTGTGGAGTTTGCATGTTCTCCCTGTGCCTGCATGGGCTAAATGGACTGAGCTTTATACAGTCCTTTTCTACTCTGCTTGAGTACTCAACGTGCTGAACAGAACATTCCTCAATCACCCATTCACACACATTCATTGAAGCACTTGTTTCTACACCAAAGTGCTTTCTAGCTAACACTCACATAACAGAAAGCAACTTGGGGTACACTATCGTGCCCAAGGATACTTTGGCATGCAGATTGGAGCATCAAACCACTAACCTTTCGATTAGTAGACGACCTTTTCTACCCTCCTGAGCTATTTATGTAGACACACTGTAGCAAAGTGGCAACCTGTCTAGGATGTACCCCATCTGGACAGCTGGGATATGCTCCACCCCCAAGTTTAATAAGCGGCTACAAAAATTAACTGAAGAATGTATGGATTAAGTACAGGGAGGTTCATCTTTGTATGCATGTAACTGGGGCATGATTTTCACAGAGGCAGTTGCAAGTGAAGAAGCGTCTGTGGTTAGTGATCGCACTAGATTTTTAGGGCATGGTACGCTTTCTCGTGTCCGGACACTGAACTGGACTTTGGGGGTCAGGTCATTTCGCAGGACTAAAGGGTTCCTTACACTCTCTGACTGTGTCTCCATATTTGTCCGGGTACACTGTGGGACAATTCTGCATATCTTCTGACTGTGTTATATTTCAGTAAAACATGAACAGATGTCTGTGTTGAGTTCTGTCTTTACCTTAAGGTATAAAGTATCTTCCCATCGTTCCATATCCTGAGCAGCTGGTTAGGCATTGTAATCCAGTGGGAATCTGCAGTCTTGGAGTTTCTGAAGATGGTGTCAGGTAGCCAAATAAGTCCAACCATGTTGCTGTTCAGAGTCAGTATTTTCATTGTGCTGTTGTATCTGAGGCGACTGTCGGTCCACGTCTGGGCAAAGATGATGTCAATTTGATATTCCTAGAAAAACAAAACCAAACAACGCATCATTTTTTTTTGCCATATTATAATCCAAACTATTAAAAAATAAAATACTAATGCTGTTCTGTGGCTATGGGGAGAAAACAGGTGCGATGTCACCACCAGGATTATTGATTTTCTGTTTGTGAATGACTCTTTATAGGAGTATTATGTGTGTCAGAAACACATGAGTCTATACCATCAATCATGTGTCATTTTCACCAGGGGGAGCATCTATCATTTTACGTATTCACTTGGCCATATGTGACCAGTGATGCTTATTCCATCATTGGTCTGACCTTTCAAATGCTACATTATTTTTTATCAATTTGTAATTTTTTTGAATAAAATGATAATTTACTACAATTAATGTGAAATATGTAAATGAGAATGAGACAGCTGATGGACAGACCGATGGCACGCCTGTGTTAACCAGCAGACCTGTGAAATGTAAAAAAAATAAAATAAATCATATTGTTAAACACACTGCTGCTCACTGTATTCATTAAAATACTCAAAATTTTTTAGTTGTCCTTCATTCAAGCCTGAAGAGTAGGATGGACAGAGCTCTTCAGTCTGCAGCATCAAGACTCAAGAACAATTTACCACTTCAGCTCCATTTAGCTGACTCTGTGAAGTCTTTAAAAGAAGAACAATTGAATAGCATTCATTTTAAACTACAAAGAACCCGTCCATGACCGTCTGTCCATCCATCCATCCATCCAATTCAGGGTCGCAGGGTGGCTGGAGCGTATTCCAGCTGCCATTGGGTAAAAGGTTGGGTAGACTCTGGACAGGTTCCCAATCTATGTCAGGGCTAACACGGAGAGACAGCCCACTCTTCAAACTCACATTCACACATTTTTCTGCATTTTTTAACCCTGAGAGTTTCATAAGGTGATATCCACATGAAAAACGAAAAAGATTTTAGGCATGAAAAATGCATTTGAAACTGAGTGTTTTCTAATATTTTACTGGAGAAAAGTACAAAAAGTGCATTCTGGGTAAATTGTCAAGGCTCCATATCACCAAGTGCAATAGGTGGCTGCTCAGTACAGGTTAGAGCAAATCACAGGTCTCCATTTACCTACATTTGATACCACGATCATTTTGTAGCCATTATTTCTTAGTCAAATTATTTTCGAATTTTCATGTTAAAGTGAAAACTGAGCCTCTGACATTCTCTCACTTATTTATATTTTTAGTCTTAACTCACTCTACTTCTTATCTAACTCTCAAATACATTATCTGAATCTTATCTCACGTAGGTTTTTAAATTCTCTCCTAATATTAAAACTACTTACTAACTCTGCCAAGAGTTATTATCAAAAAGCTTATATGTAAGTTACAGTCTTCCATTTAAGCAGGGAGGAAAATGTGAAAATGAATCCAGTAGCATACCACCGAAGAGCCGATGATGCTGTTGATATAAAGTCTTTTTTTCAGGATTTAAAACCAAACAAATATACTGTTATGACACTTCCTGGTATTTGTGGTGGTTTTAGCACCTGAAGGTGTAAAGTGGCAGTGAAAAGCCTCTTCCTGCATTTCTCATGAGTAAATATATGTTCTCAATGTACAGTTCGGCCTGGTGTTGCTCTTATAAGCAAGCACGACTTCACTCGGTATGCTGAAATCCTGCACTCTATGGTAGCAGCTAGGGCTGCCACAAACGATTATTTTGATAGTCGACGTAATCGTGACTAGTCGACTAAACGTGGCAGCCCTAGTAGCAGCACTCATGGAGTTGTGGAGGTTTTCTTGGTCTGCAGATGATGCTTAGACATTCACTCAGTACTTGAATTTTTAAAACCTAAGAAAATAAAACTAAAACAAAAAGTTATTTAAGACAACGTGATTAAAGAAACACATCACTATTACATTAATTGCACATAGGATGCAATTTAATCAAGCTAACAATTGACTGTTATTCAGAAGATACAGTAACTATCCGTGTTGTGACAAGAAAACATATAAATCATGTAGATGAGCAATGATGAGTCGTGCTGGTGCGATCTGCGGTATGCCAAGCTAAAATTCTCCTCAGCAACAGCTGAGTTCCTACGGTCCTTTGGTAACAATACAGACAAAGAAGTGAAGCATAATGAAATTAATGATAGCCTGCCTTCCTCCAGCAACCTACATCTTTTTATTCTGCTGCCACCGCCGGAGATGCATTTGACCTTTTACCCAGTCTCTGCACCAGTTTGAATAGCTCACCAATTAGAAGGAAGTCCATAATCAAGAGAACCACTGGGTACTCATGACCTTTAATTGTGTGGTGCTCAGGGGAAAAAATGTAAACAATATCCAGCACTTAATGACCAGTGAAAGAAAAGAGCTGCAGATCAAACAATGAAACTTAATATGAGCTGAATCACATCTGGAAACAGTCAGCTGCAGGTGGAGGGAGAGACGTAACCCTTACACATCAGCATTTCTAGCTTTGAGTGTCTTGTATAATTTCACATTAGAGGTAATTTTAACTATTCTGAAGGAGTATCGATCACACTTCCCCTCCCTGCTGCTCGCAGCTGCTTCCAGTCATTACAGCAGGTGTTGCTGTGAAGAAAATGGGTCTTTCACCTCAAATGCCTCAGAGGAGCAGCTATATTAAGGCTGCTGATGTAGAGATACTGTACATACTCATGTTAAATTTAAAGGTGCTGATGTGCGTTACAAATAGACTCCACATAATCATTTCATTCAATATAAAGTACAGAATAAAAGATGTTCATCTTCCACTTTAACCAACAAGGTTTTGATTTGCTGTCCAGTAAGAAAAAAAGAATACTGCAGCACGTGACAACAGCGTTTCCAGCTTTGTGTTGGCAGGTTGGGAAATGGCCCACCTCATTTCGATATGGCAATATCTCTCTACAAAAAGACAGAGGCGTGAAAATAATGATTTTCCCAATTTGGTGTGACCTTCATCCCATTTAACACTATTGTGATTAACTGCAATGTCACCTGTGAGCCAGGTGTTATCAATAAACTGGAAGAGTTGGACCTCGTTATTGCTTCTGTGGCTAAATGGGACCAAATCTCTGCAATCAGGCTTGAGCACCTGTGGAAAGACCCCCACTGCCCTCATTGTGTGTGAGTAAACCATTAAATGTCGGTTTTTGGGGAGTGGGGGAGCATGTAGTTCTTTTGCGCCGACTTCAAATTGGACAAACGTTGACCAATTGTGAACTGTCCCGACAACGTGTGGCATTAGAGTTCCAGAGAAAACTGTGGAATAGTGGAAGCTGTCTTAGCTTGTTACAGGTGCTGTACTATCATCCATTAAAGTACTGTTTAAGGGTTGTTTTTTTTAAGATTTTTACGAAGTGTGGTTAGCTGCCACTGCAGCACACACATGAAATGACACTGCATTTAGCCGCATGGCAGTTACAGCAGCAATCTTTGAGCCTTCTCATTATTGTTACGACCAGAGATGGGCTGTAATCTAATTACTTTTTTCAAGTAACGAGTAAAGTAAGGGATTACTATTGCAAAAACGGTAATTAGATTACCGTTACTTTCCCATAGGAACGCTGCGTTACTAAAACCGTGATTTTTTTTTTGCGAGAATGTCTCATGACAATGATGTAAGCGAGTGCGACGTTTGTGACAACAGCTGTGTGCAGA